GGCTTCTCTACAGAACTGGTGTACTTAAGCATTTGTTCATGCTGTTTCATTCTCTTGGATAACTACTTAACTGGGATTTTACATTTCTTTTTATTACCTGAGAAGGATTTCTGCTTCTGAGGTTACTGGGAGCTGTGCCTTGAGTGGTGCTAGATATCCAGCTCTGCTGCCATCAAGCCTATGGTGCATCTGTACCTGGCTGCCTCCCTCCTCCTGTGATCACTCCAGGCTGCTCGGTGGGAGAACATGGAGCAGAGCAGAGCTTCACCTGTCCTGATGTACATATCCTGGTAATGCATGTCAGTTGCTGCAGCACTGCAGTAATTTGTGCCTGGCAGCTTGATGGAGATTGTAAAACACTATTTTATTTTAGTTTGTACTTCCCTGTCTTAGCTGCACTGGCCTGACCTTGAAGCCAGTACAGCTTTCTGGGGGAGTTGCCTGACCTTGAAGCCAGTACAGCTTTCTGGAGGAGTTGCTGTTCGCACTTGTCACTTGCTGCTGTGCTCGATGTGAGGGCTTGGTCAGAAGTACCAAGTTCCATCCCTTTCCTACTTTCTATCCTTTACAAAAAGACAAAGCTGTATGAAATAGGTGCAATTAAAATGTTAACTTCCTTTTTTGTGTCTCTGACATGCAGAAATGACTCTCCCCCCCCTCTTACACGATACTTAAAAACTACTTGTTATGTCTTGGGAAAGGTGGTTGATGTTTTGCCTGTCTGTGGCAGAGCTGACAAGGAGCTTTACAGGATTTGAAAGAGGCCAGGTGCTAGATACAAAAAGGACAAGGATAAATGAGAACTTGAACAAATGATGATGGAGACCACCTTGGATTCATAGAGGTCCTGGACATTGCTGCTATTACAGGACTATTATAATAAATGTGGGGAGGGGGAGCAGGTTGAGACTGGGATTTAGCTGCCAGGGGGAAGTTGCTAAGAGTTACAGGCAGGAGAAAGGAGAGACTCACCTGAAGGAAATCCTGCCAGGAACTGCAAAGCTGTGTCTTTTGAGCAAGTGTATCAGCCACAGGAAGGCAAAGGAAAAGGCTTTGTTCTTTCCTTCTGCCTTACAGCTTTAAATGGTTTTCTTTAAAAAAACAAAACAAAAGAAAAACCCCACAAACAACAAAAATAACTGATCTCCTGTGAATGTCTTCCACAAAAGTGTGACTTACCTGTAGCTGCTTTAAAATAAAGACTTACAGCAAAAAAAACCAAACAAAACAAAACAACCAAAATGACTGAAAAAAAGGGGAGGAGAAAAAAATTTCACAAAAATATCAAGGAAAAACTAAGTTGTCTATATGCAGGTTTAGCCCCCTCCTATCCAGCCCTGCCAGGGGCAAGACAGGCAATTCACACCCCATACTAGGAGTTTCTTAAACCCCTGGCAAAGAGAGGGGTAAGGCTCATCCTCCTCCTGCTTAGGAGCAGCATGGAGCGAGACCTGAACTGGCACCTGCGTGTGCTCCAAGGTGGCTGTAATTAAGGATTATATCATGGACAGAGGTGAATTGTGGGGAATGAAGGTTACAGCTGTCAAAGCAGAGCATGGCATCATCTTTTATATGCTGATCAGGTACAATACCAACTAGACTATGTTCTGAAATAGAGGTAGCTTGAAAACATCAAGCCGAGGTGTTCGATATACCAGAGCAGTCGTTTTGTTCTCTGTATGGTTTGTTAGCCATGGAAGTGCTGCCCACACCTTACGGAGAGAGCTTTATTTCATTTCTGTTTCCTTAGCCTAAAAAAAAAATGAAGCTGTATACATGGAAACCAAATACATTTCTCATGGACAAGAGAATAATAAAGGAGCACATGTGTGAAAAGAAAGATAAGATAAAGCACAGCATGTTCCTGCAGAATCTGGCAGCAGGAGGACAACGTGAAAGCAAAATAGTTTGCTGACAAAACTAGAAAGATGAGGTTATTGATGCCTCTGAGAAAATACTCCCACCACAAACCGGAGCCTCCAAATCCACTTGGCAGACAGATGGCATCGAGATTCTTTGATACATGATGGAAACACTTAGCACTGATTTTTCCCATGCCAGCCGTTTTCACCACACTTATAAAAGTGTGTATCACAAGCTTTGTTCCCAAAGAGTCATCTACACCACCTGGGTTCTGCAGAAAACATCTGCTGAAACTGTTGTAAAGCAAAACTTGAATAGTCTTTATTCCAAGTTGTTTTCTTTGGGTCAGTCTGGTCTGTCACTCCAGATGCTTTGGCAACGGCACCTGAATAAGGACAGTAAGTATTAGGAGGAGGAAATTTCTCAGTCTTATTTCCCAAACCAGTTTAGTTTCATACAAACCTTCAGAAACCATAAAAAACATGAAAAATATAACAGCTGGGAGCTCTGAGGAGCTCTGGTTGGGAATTTCTTTTGTTTGCAATTCCCCACTTGCTATTTGCAATTCTTAATGCCCAGGAAATCAATTTGCAAGCAATGAGTCCCACCACAGAGTGAGCAACACAGCACAGCTCAAGCAGTAAAATCCAATTCTAGAGATGGAGCTGGGAATATCGAGGCAAATAAGGAGTTACCAAGATCATACAGGCAGGTGAGAATAATACCCTAATGCCCCAAATCCAAGCCCTTTGCCCCAGTGACAGAGGACAAAAAAACCCAACCCAAGTGTCCATTGCTTCACCTTTCCATGGGCTGTGACAGCAATTGTTACCTGGCACATTTAGGATGGACCATGAATTGACCACCCCAAACCTCACAGCTTTCATTTATAAAAACCTCCCAAGGATTTTGGGGGGCAATGTCTGGGTTTCACTATTGCTCCCTGGCACCCATCAGCACCCTGGTTTCTTCATCATTGCTGTGCAAAGTGAGGGCTCTGCCTATCAGAGCACCAGCACCATCCTCCTCCATCTTCCTGAGAGGAGGGGAGGCAGTGGATCCAGCAGCAGTGATGGACCAACTTGCTGTCCCAAGCACCATCTTGGCATGTGCAGATAAACCGTGACCTTTACAAGAGCAGGTCTTGTCGTCTTAGACATGGCACTGAAATGCAAAACCTAGATTGAGATCTAGAAAGGCCAGAAATGCCCTGAGGCGAGGCCCTGGCTGCAGCCAAGTTGGGCTCGGCCAGCAGAAACCACAGCCCCAGAACTTGGTTTGGAGGCATAACAGTTACATTAAACCTGGACCAGGGTCACTGCAGGACTTGCCCCTGCCAAAGTTTCAGGACAAACTACTTTCTCTGGAATTACTGAAGGAATAATTATTTCTATGTAGATATAAATGAAAGCAAAATGTCTCCCATTATATCAAAATTTCAATATTAAATAAAATATTAATGACAAAATACTACTTGACCATTTTTGATTGCCAAGGATTTTCTGTCTTATTCCTCTAGCCTTAGCAACACAAACAGATGCACGAACATCACTAGCTGCAAATGGATCAGTCAGCTTGCAGTATTTCTTGATTAATGGTACAATGCAAAGAAATGTAACACTTCAGGAAAGCGAGAGGTTAAATCTGCTGGACAGCCTTTTAAGAAGTGGTCCATAAATTTGGTAACCAAGTAAGAACATCACCAAGAGGCAGTTAGCACAGTTTGGGACTTTCACCTCACACTAAAGCTTTTCATTTCATTTAAAACAGATTCTTCTTGCTTCCCACGGCCTTGGCCAGGAGTGCAGCCAGCGCATTACTGCCTCCATGCAGGTTCTTAAGTGACCTTGGG